CTATACTACATGCAGTATCTTTTTCTCAAAGATAGTCAACTCTTAGGGTCATCCGCCAGTCATTGGTATCTCTGAAACTGCAGATCCCATTTTGGTAGAATGTTGGTGATGCCAGGGAGCCAGCACTCTTTCAAACTTCTCCTGGGAGTCTCACACTGAAAGGGAAAATCTCCATCATCTTTTTTCTCAGTAAGCAATCGCTCTGGATTCTGGGCTCTGGAACCACCTTCCCTGGATTCATATCACAGGTCAATGTTTTACTAATTAAGTCAGCTCAAGTTACGTAAGCTCTTCACATCTGTTTCCTCCTTTGCAAAACAGAAGTAACAGTCTGCATCAAAGCTGTGGAAGTAGATGCACTGTACATTCCAAGAACCTAGTACTGTCATGTACCTAGCAAGGAATCAGCAAGTATTTGTTAGATATCACAATTAAAGGGCTAAAATGATCTAGAATGACCCATGTAAACCAACAAGGATTCGATGTCTTTAACAAAGGCAACAAGAAAATATATTTTAGAAAGAGCTTGTATGATTCTACAATACTCTCTTAAAGTAAAACTTTTTTTCTTGTATTATTAACTGAAAATAATCACACTCCATTGAGATTATGAATATTTAAACTGCCCTAAAGATAGGTAGTTACTACAGAAGAAGTCTTTAACCACAAATCCTACTCACTTAAGAACTGGAGAACAGAAAGAGGGAACTATTTTCTATTTTTCTTTATAAAAACTGTTACAATTTTGCAAACCCTCAAAGACGACTGTGAGCATACTTCTGGGTGTGGACAAAATGTTCGTGCAAGGATGAACTTTGGGGGGGAAATTATCATTAATCTTATTATACATAAAGTACTTGAAAAATCTATGAAGCCTATGAAACTTCTAAGTTGTCTGGTCAACTTTATAATGGAAACAGGAGTTTAGATCAAATAGGAGAATAAAGACAGGTACAAAAATGGGAGATGGGAGTTGAGACACCTGAACAAAAGAAAACTGCTTTATTATATGCATCAGAGAGAATATAAAGTTCATTTCCCTGAGACACTCACTTCTTTCCCTCATATGGGAAGGGAGGGCGGGGAAGGATAAGCCATCTGCCTAACCAGCTACTTGACCAATTAGATCTCTGAATATTATTCTTCACAGGGATGACTCCATGCTTTTGGAGAAAAATGATTCACACAATGGCTCAAGTGCACCTCTTCTTTTGGGTTGGAACTTTACAGGGTCACTGCTTGAGTTGATGTCTTTCTATTATTTCAGTTTATAATTAGTGCTGGGAGATAATGATTTGAAATAAAGTGAGGGCTTATACCCCAAATACACATACAATCTATCACTCTAGTTCCCTCTACAGCCACTCTGTCACCAACTATACAATGTTCTATAGTAGAAACTGCACATTTGCAAATGCCCACCTAATGCTGATGTTGCATTACAAATGATGGAGGGGAAAAATTACAGAGATAACTTAGAAAGGAAAAAAGAAGACTTTTTCCATTCAGTTTATCTGTATGTAATGGTCATAGTCAAGAACTCTTTACCAAATTTTCAATAAAGCACTTATGTAGGTAATAAAACACATATAACCTTGTTCAGCAAGATTTAAGAAAGGACAGGCTTTTAAAGGGATAGTTTCAGGGACGCCTGGGGGGCTCAGTCAGTTAAGCGTCTGCCTTCGGCTGAGGTCATGATCCGGGGTCCTGGGATCGAGTGCCGCATCAGGCTCTCCCGCTCGATGGAGAGCCTGCTTCTCCCTCTGCCCCTCACCCCGCTTACTGCGCTCGCTCTAATAAATCTTTTAAAAAATAAAAATAAAGGGATAATTTGAGAACATAAGAAAGTGCTACACAAAGCTACCGAACAATCATGTGATAACGTGACATACAGCAGGAGACCGAGCCAGGGGTGTACCTTCTACAAACACCTTTGGAGAGCAGTATTCTAAAACCCTCCATAAAACTGCGAGCATGGTCCTCAGCAGTGCCTTTGAACCTAGATATAATTTCCAGCTATACCTTTTCAATGGCTCCCCATATTCCACCTTCCCCGTTCACACTCATCTAGCCAACTTAAAAGATGGAGAAAGAAAAAAAGGGGTGGGATCATAGAGAAACAGAGACTCTGGATGAGAATCAATTTCTGTGGGGGACAGTGGAACACAGTTATTTCAGGACCTCATATTACTACATCCCTGGAAAAGTCAAGTAGACAGCCAAATGCTCTGCTTTTTCAGGAAGGAGCTGAGAGTTCCAATCATATAGGAAGATAAAAATTCAGAGGAAAGGAAAAACCTGATATTAATGGAAAAATTATAAAATAATTTCTATAATTACATGTAATTATATAACACTGCAGTCATCGGCCCCATTTGATTTTTACTTCTCTTTCAATCTTCACAGACCGCTAAGTCACATTCACATGTTGAAACATGGCTTAGTAATCAATGGTTTGAAACTGGGAGTATTTACTATAACAATGCTCTATTGTGTTTGAGAAGGTAAATAAGCAAGATGGCCTTTTTCAGCAGTAAAGTAGAACGGACCCTGGAATGTACTTGAATTTGCCCAGCCCAAAAGGTAGCCTCAATAGCTTGGGGACAGAATTTTGAACTACATACCCTAGGGCAAGTCATGAAAAACTTGCACAGAGCAATGAACCTAGCCAATCGTAACCACATAAACTTATATCCTTTTCAGTTATCATTATCATGTATAATGTTAAGTGGGAAAAAGCTCAAGAAAATATTCTAGAGATATGTTCTCTTACATAGATATTCATATTATAAGTGTGTATAGAAGACTACTCTAAACTAAATTTTACTTCACCATATGTGATCATCTAAGTTAGTGTTTGAAATTCTAATGCCTAATAACTAAATGTAATATATGGATCTATATGAATCTATTTGTCTAGATTCTAATTCAAAAAAACCTAGGTCAAGAGACAGTTTCTGAGGCATGAGAAATCTGAAACAGGCTGGATACCATAGGACCCCAAAGAATTATTAACAACGCCCAAATTAACTACTGTTTATTATAATTATTGTTAGGTGTGATAATGGCACAGTGGCCATGGGAGAAGGTGTCCATACGTGCTAATGTATGCAGGGGTGGAATGAGATTTGCTCTAAAATATCTCAGCTAAGAAAAAAAAAAGTTGGGGCACCTGGGTGGCTCAGTCCTTAAGCGTCTGCCTTCGGCTCAGGTCCTGATCCCGGGATCCTGGGATTGAGCCCCACATCAGGCTCCCTGCTC